CCATGCATAGCTTTACTGCTTGACTCTTCCCCTTCTACAAGGGTGCTGATCACCAACATCATATTACTCGTTTTTGTCAGATCCCTGTATTCATCTCATACAGACGTGCATCTCCTCTTGCTGTATTTATTGTATCTCCTTTCTGCGTGGTTTTATAGGGAAACTATTTCATACCATTACTTCCATAGTGCCTTTGGAAATGGCATGTTTAAGAAATGCTTTGTAGGATTTCAGTAACATGATAGGTCCTTAGCAAGTTTGTGATTAGCAGGGATGCGGGCTTTGCATTTCCCATGGAAAAATGGAGTAAACCACGGATTTTACCTTTTACCAGAGGTAAACACATATTTCTCATTTTACAAGAGAAACCTGAAGATTTTACCATTTTGCAATGAGCTCCCTGCAGGCTGACAGCGTTCCAGCCTTCAGGGAGCTGGGAGGGAGTGAGAGGAATGGGTAACCACATGCATGTCTATGCACATGGCAGCCTGCAGAGCAACTCTAGCATGTAAGAGGGGGCAGAAGGAGCTGGGCAGGGCTGAGGATGCTGCCCATCCAGGTGGGGCTTGGGGGCCAGGGCTGCAATGCATGGCTGCAGGGCCCCAGCAGGGAGCAGGATGGGGCGGTGGGTGGATTGTCCAGGTGAGGGGGAAAAGGCAGCTCCCCACTGCTGCATGCACTCCTGGGGGGCAAGGGGGACCTGGGCCCCCCAGATCTGTACCTGGGCAGGTGCAGGCTGCAGGCTTGGGCTCCCACCCTGCTTCCCTCCCATGGAGCCTCTGGAGCCCAGTAGGCATGACCCAGCATTACTGGGGACCACAGGGCCATGTGGGGATCTGCTCGCCACTGCTCCCCACCCCCGTTGCCCTGCCAATGCACTTCCAGTGCCTGCTGCTGCTTTGAGGGGTGCAGCCCTGCATTGCTTCCCTCACTACAGCCACGCACACGGGAAGTGCATCACTGGGGCAGCAGGGGGGAGGGGGCAGCAGCATTCCTGGTTAGATTTTGTGATACAGACATCTTTTAATTATATAAATTTATATTACCTAACTCTATACAATTTCTATATGTATCATATCCCACAACTAAATTAAAATTCCATGTAGTAAGGTCCTGTTCTAAAATTTAGCAAAAGCAAATTTCATTTTTTTTTAGTTATGTCTGCACTTAAGCACCTGGGAGCTCTGTTTATCCTTTACCACCATTTTTTTAACTAAATTATGTGTACTTTTTCTAGAGTCTTGCATGCCAGAGTGTAATGAACTCAGTGAAAGTCTTACCATTGACTCTGATGGATTTGGATTAGGTCTGTATTGAGGTGTATCCAACCAGATACTTTCCTACCTGGAGGTACAGTCCAGGGTAATGCTCATAGGGAGTCAATTAGAAAATGCTCCCAGTTTCAACAGAAAGAACAGGAAATGCTGAACAAGAATACAAACGGTTGGGAGTGTGCGAAGGTAGGCAACAGACAAGCAGTTACCATTACTCTGTGCATCAGGGATAATATATAACACTTGGCTATGTATGACATGAGTGTGTCCCCCTCCCTCCCCCTCCTCCCCCAATTTATTTCTTGCCTCATTTTACTGATTGAATGCACTTGCCATGAAGTAGGTTCAGATAGGAACTGTTTCTTTTTGCAACACATCAGCTTTATATAGCACATGATTTTGGTGAGCAAAATTAGGCTCTTTCGTGTTTAACTCCTATTCAGCAGAAGCCACTTATATGATAATAGAACTGTCCAAGAAGCCCCATTATTTGTCAGATTGTAACAACTTCAGAAAGTAGACTTCAAATTCTGCAACAATGGGTTTGCCACTACCTTCAGATCTGTGCAGAAACCTGACTTTAGCTAGCCATATTACTAAATGTGGTCTCATACCAGTAATACAAAGAGGTCTGCATTACCTATAATTACATCAAATAAATTCCTCTTCTTAATAGTGTCTTTATAGGTAGTGCTGACATCTGCCTGATATGAAAATACAACAGGCACCATAGTAATACCAGCCTACAACCTATCAAAATATCTTGGGTTCTAGAGGTACCTGCTATTGTATGGATGATTTTCTACATCCAGGGAAGAATAGGTCATGAGCAGCAGCACCCCCCTCCCCTCTCACGCTCCTCAGTTTTGAAGCTATAGGGAGTATCAAGTCTTATCTAACATTCATGCTTGTGCCAGGGCCTCTGAGGTGGTAAGAGTCACTTGCTTTTTCCATCTTGCTAGCAGAGTCGAACAGTACATTTCCTCCCTTCTGCAGACCCATTGACAAAAGAGTAGGGGTGAGGATTTTTGAGACTTCCCTTCCCTCCTACTAAGGAAGCAATAAGGCTGTCAGTTGGTTTCTATTTCTATTCCTCCTGACAGACAGAAGGAATCAGACTGTTTCTGGGCAAACAAAAAGGCCTAAGAATCACTTGTGTGCTTCTTTGAACAGAATAGTCCGAAACCAGCTGTTTTGGAGCCATCCTGCCACTAACCAGTGCTCCTTGACTGAAATATTACCAGACTATTCCCAACTTAACTCTTCTGAGGAAACTGTCAGTCCAAGATTAAAATCTGGATAAGGAAGATACCGTGTATACACTGTAACATTTTAGGGGATTCTGGTGCAAGATTTGAAGGTTGTATGTTGATAAGACACTGCAGAGTTGCTGTGATTGTGCGCCTTATGGTAGAACGTTCTTGTTTGATCACATTGAGTCTCTCTTAGATAAGAGATGGTGACAGAAAAGGAGGACTGCTAAACTTGTTCTGTACTGAGAACCAAAACAGGGAATCAGGTTGAATCAAATTTTCATGTTATCAAGGGACTACAGGAGCAGCTGGAACACAGAGCTTTGTTAATGCTGTAAAAACAGTTGTGGTTTTCCTTGGTTCTGCTGAGTTATGTCACAGATAGTAAGTCACAGCCAGGTAATGCTTAGTGCCAAACTTTTAGGCTACTAAAGAGACTTAATTTAAGATATTTATTGAAAGAAACGTAGAGGAGCTTTTGTGCCACTTGAGCATGGCTTTCTGGCAATAAACTGATTATTTTACTCTGCGTTATATAGAGGCCCACAAAGAAAATGCCCCATTGCAGCTACTTATAGTTACTGCCTGTTTTAATTTTACTTCATTGTAGATAACTTGGCTCTTGGATCTAAGGTCTCTGGCTCATATGAGCGGGGCAGGTTTCTCACCTAATAAAGAGGCATTTTTTGATTTAAAGAAACAGATTTATTGTGTGGAGCAACAGTGTGTTTAAAAGGGCACTCTCAGGACTAGTGATGAACTGCTGAGAGATTTCCAAGCAACTAAACCAGCTGTGAGCTTCTAGGGTACTTCTCTATGCATGTTCCTCTTCAAGCATTATTAAAATAATTGGAACTGGAACTTTATACTGCTCATGTTATTTTAACAGAAGATGATTGTGCTGTTTTTTTTGGCATACAATTTCAGTAAGATTTCCTCTAGATTATAGGACAATTTACATAAAAGTTTAGCCACTGCTGCATCTGCATTGCTGATGTGTTCTTTGTTAGTGCAGGTGTCTAATATCCTTATACAAATGCACTTCTTTAGAATATGGGTGTGTGCTATACACCCATATTATTGAATTTATCTTGATTAATTATTTTTCTTAATGCAGTCAGTTTTGTAGTAATTGATTAGTTGTGGCAGTTCACTACCATCTGATAAAGCAGAGTTGGCTGTGCACTTGCCTGGTGTATATTCTGCTTTAATCTATATACTTTACAAAATCAGCATCATCCAAGTAAGATGAAAATGTCTAAAACCCATTAATATCTGTTGCAATTGATGTTCTTTAATTGTGGGATTTCTTAAGAGGTTTCAAGTTATAAACCTTATGACTAGGGACAGACACTCAAAAAGCCTGAGCCTGAATCTTTGCAGGTTAGTCTAACCTGGCTAGGCTAATTCAGTTTGTAACTACACAGACATCCCAGAAATGCAGGCACATGCCTGCAGTGGCTCAGGATAGAAGCCAGGGGGGAGGGCGGGGGGGAAGGTGCTAGAGCAGCCCTCCCTTCCCTTCCACAATACTGAGTTGAGGGGGGCATGGCCAGGCAGGAGGCTCTGATTAGAGAGGAGTTTTTCCCCCTCCTGACCAGTGCAGCAGGGAATTGATAACACAGTGTTTGTCACTCCTAACTCAGTGTTTATCAGCCCATTAAGAAAACAACAGAGGGACATTACCAGGTACCTGTTGAATCTGCTTTTGTCCTGTCTGCCACAGCATGGACTGTAGCCAGCATGTGGTCTGCTAGCTAATGATGAGAGGTGTCTGTGTAAGGCAAGGGGACAGGACAATCCCTGCTTAGCAGGGAGTGGGGAGGGAGGGGAAGCACGGAGATGCCTGCAGTCTATGCCGAGCTCCAGCTAGGGAGCAGATTGGAGGGGCTAGCCATGCTATGGAGAAGAGAGCTCCATCCAGCCCAGAGAGCATGCCAGGATGCTAGGGGAGTCTGGTTTAACTTAAACCAGCAAGGGGTCTGGGACAGACATTGCATAAATTGGTTTGAGCCAAATCAGTTCAGTCTGATACTACCAGGTTTATCTCAAACTGGTTTCAGCCATTTTTAAACTTATTTATGTGCACTGAACATCTATTCTGTTACAGGTTTAAACCAGATTCTGATCACTTAAACCAGTTTATGTGCAATGTCTGTCCCTAGCCTATAGGTCCCCCCTCCCTCAAGCCTTATTTTTGAGATTTCTTTATGCAGTCCAGAGGATAGGTGAAAGAAATCTGTTTCATTGTTCAGAATAGTCATGCCTTTCATTCACCCACAAATATGTGCTTGATTTCTACTTAGAAGGATTTTTTGGAGAGTTGGGGAAATCCTTACATTGTAGCAATTTTACTTTTAAGCAGGGTTTCTGCTTTTCTTTTTCAGCATTTTCATAAGCAGCTAAACTAATGAATATATAATTTTCTCTCCTTTCTGCTTGTCATGCCCTGCTAACATGGACATCTACAAAGGCTCAGGTTGGTGTTGCAATCTGTCTTCATCTTTATTGTTCTCATTTAGTAAAAAGGGACTTTGATGTTGTTCTCCATCAATCAGCATTCCCCCTCCTCTCCTTAAGGCCAGATCAGACCTAATTGCTGCATAAGTAAGGCTCATCTAGAAAGGCACCATATTCTTTTGTTACTCTTGAAGCTATCCTTCTGCTTCAGCAAAATTTGCTGTTTCAAAAACACAGAGCATTGATTTATTTATATCTGTTTAAATTCGCTATGCTTGCCTTGCTTTATGACTCAGAGAAAGCAGAAGCTACAGTATATAGAGATTCTAGTATCAGCAAAAAATCCACAAATGCTCATCGGATTCTCACTAATGATTTAGCTCTGTAGCTCAGACCTTCGCATGTTAGCAGCACGGTAACATTTTATTTTGGCATTGAGCAGGCTGGTGAGAATCGGGTAATATCACTATTTATTTATAGGGTCCAGAACCACCACATCTGACGAAGTATTTTTCTTGATTGTGAAATAACAAGCATAATGTAAAAATATGTAAAAACTGACCATTTGCAATGTCATTAGCATATACGCAGGTACATATATTACATGTTGCCATCCCAATGTTTTAGCATCGTTTTAAGATTAAATTGCCCGGTGTAGGTATAAAAATTGCAAGTAGTTCTGTTTCCTCTCGGATAGCTAAGGGCTTATCCTGCCAGGTGCCAAGTGCTGTCTGCTTGCCATTCAGCACTTTATAGAACAGGATTCAGAGTTCCAGTAAACCTGTAATGTTGTTTCTTTCTGTTTGTCTATCTTTTTGTTTGGAGTGTTATTAGGTGTTTAACAAATGTAAAAATCATTAGTATTTTCAGGCTCATCAGTGATCTGAAATAATACACTCAGATTAGGCTTTAGGGGACAACCAATAAGGACAGCAAAAGTGCATTGTGTTGACCTGAAGGAATTCTACTTTCTAATATAGCAGACCGTGAGAGGGCTGAGAACAGGTGTAATGAGAAGGTCATGCATTTGGGCAGCAGCACTACAGGAAAGGTGTCAGGTGCTTTCACTCTGCATTGCACCTAGTGGAGGGTTTACTGGCTTGAAGCCTGTTGTTCATGCTAGCACTGACACAGCTTTAGGGGCTGATAGCTCCTGCTGCTGCTAATTAGAGAAATGGAATGTATTGGAATGAACAGTCACTTAGAGAGTATTTTGTCTCATATTTTTCACATTTAATTACACCAACTTATTTTAATCTCCAGTAAAGAATGCTTATGCTTTAGAGTAATATCGCTTGAGATTTTAATGTATACACCAGTTTAAAAAAAAAAAAAATTAGCTCTAGTAAATATGAACTAATAAACCTCAGCCAGTGAGATATTAGTTTTATACGTACCAACTGTAATAACTGTGGTTTAATGGCGCTCACTTCAATTAACTTTTTAAACAAGGCATTTTCTATTCGTTGCACTTATGAATTTGAACTACACAGGTACCTGTCTTTGCATATTTAATTACCCATTAGAAGAAAATGAGAGACTTACTGAGAGACCAGTGCTTTGCAAGTCAGACAAAGGGGAAAAAAAACATCTAAAGAACACGCCTGGGGAGTACTGGGTATCCAACTGTCTTTGTAATAGCAATCTATCGTCTCTTTCTAAATTTCTTCTCTTTTTCTCCTATGGCATTTAAAAGCCAGCATTCTGTATGGGAGCATTAGAACTACACTATTTGCTGACAGGTTCATCAGCTCCTGTTTCTTGCAGACTTGCTAGTGTTTTGATTTTAAAACAAGGTGTGGTTTGAGGTTAGATTTTGAAAAGGGAATGGGCCATTCCAGAATGTTAATCCAATCTCTCACATTGACTCACTGTCCCGCTAGTCTTGGGTAAATCCATGATCTTTGAGCCTCAGTTCTTTTCCTCTATAAATTGGGAGTAAATCCAGACTGTTCTGAGGATCGTAACTAGATAATCTGGGGTTGGAGGAATAGATTTCTACATATTTCTCTCCTGTCATCACAAAAGTCTTCCTCACACTAATAATCATTTTTTAATCTGCCATCACTGCAATTCACAACACAAGGGGTATTATAAGTGTGCGTATTAACAGTTGGAAGTAACCCTGCCTTATAAGAGTTGTTGTACTCTCAGGTAGCAGGGGGAACTCAGGATTGGATGTGGAAAATTATCCTCGACACCCCATGTGGTTGGTTATTTATGATGCTGTTCTTAGATATTAGACTCAAACTGATTTTATATTTTTGTCAGCTGATCACTTCAGTGATTTTCTGGATTTTACTATAAACTTAGGTCAGCAGCAGTGAATACGTAAATAACCTTATTTAAGTTATTATTTGTTTTCTTTATTCCTTACCTTTGGGGCTAGTCAAACTGTAGGAAAAACTTCTGATTCAGATAGATACTAATGAATAAAAGTGCTGGATTTGTTTTGCTGATTGGTGTGCTCATGTTGTGTTATGGATGCATGTCTGGACCAACTGCCAGCAGTCATAAAAAGGCAATAAATCTCAAGTTTCACAAATTTTAGCAGATAATTATTTTTCTAAAGGCTTATAGATCCATAAAGAAGTAGGATTGGAAGGATCTTCAAATGGTCATCTTGTCGAAACACCTGCTCAAGGCAGGATTTTCCCTATCTAAATCATCTCATTCAAGTGTTTGTCTAAACTAATCTTAAAATATTCCAAGGATAGAGATTCCACAACCTCTCTGGGTACTCGGTTCCAATGTTTAACTACCCTTAGAGTGAGAGTTTTTTCTACTACTCAACCTAGATTTCCCTTGTTCCAATTTAAGACTATTACTCCTTGTCCTATCCCATAGTTTCATAGATGGCAGAGTCAGAAGGGACCTGAGCAGATCATCAAGTCCGACCCCTGCCATGGGTAGGAAAGAATGCTGGGGTCAGATGACCCCGGCAAGGTGTCTGTCTAGCCTCATTTTGAAGACGCCCAGGGTAGGAGCAAGCACCACTTCCCTTGGAAGTTGGTTCCAGATCCCAGAAGCCCTGACTGTGGAGTAGCGCCTCCTGATGTCTAGCTTGAATCTACTCTTGGTAAACTTATGGCCATTATTACTTGTTACTCCCGGTAGTGCTCAGGGGAACAGGGACTCTTCCATTGCCTGCTGATCCCCTTGGCCAGTTTATAGATGGTCACCAGATCCCCTCTCAGCCTTCTCTTGTGGAGGCTGAACAGGTTCAGGTCCTGTAGCCTTTCCTCATAGGGCCTGCCCTGCTGCCCCCTGATCATGCGAGTGGCCCTCCTCTGGACCCTCTCCATGTTGTCCACATCCCTCCTGAAGTGCGGCGCCCACAACTGGATACAGTACTCCAACTGCAGTCTGACCAACGTCAGATAGAGGGAGAGGATCACCTCCTTGGACCTGCTCGTGATGCGTCTGTGGATGCATGACAAGGTGCGGTTAGCCTTCTTGACTGCGTCCCCACATTGGTGGCTCATCTCTATCTTGGAGTCTATAATGACTCTAAGACCTTTTTCTGCTTCTGTGCTGATGAGAAGAGAGTTCCCCAGTCTGTAGGTATGCTGCTGGTTCTTTCTCCCTTGGTGCAGTACCCTGCACTTGTCAGTATTGAATCCCATCTTATTCTCATCTGCCCACCCCTGTAACCTGTCCAGATCCAATTGCAGCCTTTCCCTCCCTTCTAGTGTGCCCACTTCTCTCCACATCTTAGTGTCATAAGCAAATTTGAACAAGGTGCTTTTCACTCCCTCGTCCAAGTTGCTGATGACGATATTGAACAGTGCAGGCCCAAGGACTGAGCCTTGGGGAACCCCACAGCCCACATCACCCCAGGTCGAAAATGGCCCATCCACCACCACTCTCTGGGTGTGGCCATCCAGCCAATTGGCAACCCATCTGACTGTGTAGGCATTGACACCACAATCTCCTAATTGTTTTTAATGAGAATGGGGTGAGAGACAGTGTCGAAGGCCTTCCTAAAGTCCAGAAAGACTATGTTCACTGCGACACCTGCATCCCAAGATTTTGTGACCTGGTCATAGAAGGCCACCAGGTTGGTCTGACAGGACCTGCCTCTAATGAACCCATGCTGGTTGCCCCTAAGCATACACTCCCCTGCTTGCCCCTTGCAGATGTGCACCTGGATAATTTTCTCAAAGGGCTTCCCCAGGACCAAGGTAAGACTAACAGGCCTATAATTTCCTGGGTCCTCCTTCCTCCCTTTTTTGAAAATGGGGACCATATTGGCCCTTTTCCAGTGCTCTGGCACCTTGTTAGAGCACCACGAGTGCTTGTAAAGCTGTGCTAGGGTCCCACAATGACCTCTGCTAATTCCCTCAGCCCTCTGGAGATTGTCAGGACCTGCTGATTTGAACACGTCTAGTTCCACCAGAAGTTTCCTGACTAGGTCCTTACTGACCCTGGGCCTGGCTGCACCTGCCCTGGATCCGTCTGGGATCCTGGTGGGTGGGAAGACCCAGTCCCTGCTTTGAAAAATGGAGGCAAAGAAATTGTTAAAGAGATTAGCTTTGTCATCTGGTGCGACCACCAAATTCCCAAATGTGTCCCGCAGAGGCCCCACATTGCCCAGTACCTTCTTTTTACCCGCTTTGTATTTAAAAAAGGACTTCTTGTTATCTTTGATCCGGGTCACTAGTCCCAGCTCCATTGCCGCTTTAGCCTTCCTAACAGCCCTCCTACAATCTTGAGCAACGGAGGTATAATCCTCCTTGGTGATGCCCCCCACTTCCATTGGGTGTATGCCTCCTTTTTAGCTTTGAGATGTTCCTGGATGCTTTTGGTGAGCCATGGGGGCTTTTGTGCACTCTTGCCCCCTTTGATCCATGTTGGGATTGCCACCCTTTGGGCTTGGAGAATCGTCTCCTTCAGGAATGGCAACTTTTCTTGGACTCCCAACAGCCCACCCCTCCGGGACCTCAGTGCCTCCCTGACTAGTCTCCTTAGCTCAATGAAATCCTGCCTCCTGAAGTCCAGGGCTGCTGCCTTGCTGCA